TATTCCCTATTTATTTGGTATTCATAATTTTTATATAATTTTCAAAGGAATCAATAAATCATAACTCGACAGTAGTTGTTATAGAAAATCTTATTTCGACGCTCGAAAAATTTCGAGTATTACTATTATAAGTAGGAAATCGAGGGTCCAAAGTTCTTTTATTATTTTCCCTCGAAATTCTAATCCTATCATTAATTTCTTTCTTAATAGACCGCGCCTTTACCTTCTCCACTATATTCTGCGTACTATAATTAACTATATTCTTCGTGGACTTGAAAATAATTTGTACGACGGCATTATAAAATGATTGATATATTCATTCATGGCGAAGGATCTATGACGTATGAGAAATTTTTATGCCATTCGTGTCAACGTGTCCAAGAGGCGCATTGCAAGCCTAAGCTTCATTATATATTTGGAAAACGTAAAATTCATTCAATTATCTGTCAAATATATATGATTATTAGAAATTTTACCATTTTTTTGGTTTTGTTTTGTTTTTTTTTGTGTTTTTTTTTTTTTTTGGATATAAGTAATAGTTGAAAACTTTGTCATGGACACAAAACCATGAAACCAACAACTAAATTCAATATATAATAAATATACGTACAAATTGATTTTATTCATTTAAAACTGTAGTTTATCAATGACTAAGTCGATGATTAATCAACGCATCTCTACCGCAGTCAAATTTTCATCTCGCTTCTTCTATTCTATTTAATCTTCCGGATAGAAATAGATATTTATATATTTGAAATTCTTCTCGACTTCAGACCATTGACTTTTTACTTTTCACGACGATTTGCGTAATTTAATCGTTTATGAAACGACGTTAAACATTATGCTGCAAGGCTATCACTGCGATCGAGCTATTCTAAATACTCCTGCTGGAGTTCACGGGTATCGCCAAATTTTGATTTCCACGTCATAATTCGCGACAATACGAGCAATTCGAGCCTCGATCATTCGATGAATAAAGCCGCCGCCTTCGCGTTTGTCCATGATTTTTCCTTTTTTACGTCACAATAGCACTGCTCGGTTCGAGCACCTAATTTCTCATTTATTTCCGTATTTATTAACTACATAAGCTACATTCACCGGTTATTTAAAAATACAAATGACATTTAGAATTCGGTTTAATTAATAAATCTGCCGACTTATAGATAAAATAAATATTCGAACAAAGAAGGAAATAATTACAAATTTAAAATCCAAGTTTTTTAATAAAATAAAAATAACAAGGAAAACTAAACAATACCTTCTGCTTTCACGCACGGCCACGCACACATCTACGCGTGCAAACACTCAGCCACTAAGGATTACGAAATTTTCAATCAACCAGTTTCTTTTCATCTATAATAACGAAAACAACTTTATTCGAATTAATAGCGGAATATGCGCACATGTGCTTAGTTACTTAGCTGAATGCCGGATTTAGATCGATGTTTTTCTTGCAAAGAAGAAGCCTTCGCCCTTTTTCACTCTAATGGGTATTATGCCATTGCCGGTCCTTCTTCCTAATCTTCGCCTCGCTCTCTCACCCTTGTTCCCACCTTTCACGTGTCTTTCATATATCGTATAATACGCGAGTGTCCCCCTTTTACCGATACATGCGACCAAACACATACTCACATCTATATTCATCCACACGCATGCACATACATACATTATATATATATATATATATATATATATATATATATATATATATATATTCAAGCTTTATTCGAAACAAACGTACTTCGCCAAACTTGTTTAAGCATATAATTTGAGCATCAGCTCACTACTGACTTAACACTATGCATTTATCGTTTTAACCTAGTTTATCTCTGCTTCCAATGCTCTGGCTACATTTCCACGGCTAATTACTCATTGATTTACCGTTATCAATATTATCTGACCTGACCCAAGTAATTGCCAATCGTTGCGCAAAGTACCTCTAAGCACCTCTACAATCATAAGTAAGCGCGCACACGCAACCCGGGCCTAATGCATTTTACAGATACGCGCAATTCGACTTACGCATACGCTTAGTGGAGAAATGAAAACTCAATGTGTGGGGTCAGGATGGGGCCACTCGAGGATAAACGTTTCGCGCCATTTCCCTCGGCTGATCAAAATTATTGCGCTAGCGCCAATCTAACGCTTACGCACGCGAAGGACTCCACCCCCCTCTGCACCTTCAAGCCCACATTAAGGCCCCTTCTGCTTTGCTACAAGCGCCATGACGGCCCCAATCCGCCATCGATAGTGTCGCAGGCGCCGCCACAGCCGTCTCCGCCTCCATCTCCGCCACTGCCTCCGGCAATCTATATAAAGAATTCACGAGAGTCGGAGAGATGACGCGCGTAATCGCGTAATCGCGTCGGCGCGTGCCGATGTTCGGACGGGCAGATAGTTGACATCGCGTGACTCGGGTGAGGTGCGGAGGCGGGGGAGGCTGACGCGTGGACGATGCGCCGCTGCCGTCGCCGACGCTACTGGTAAGCACCCGGAGTCAGCAACAGCCAGAGGAACTCAACGGCGGCCGGAATCTCCCGCTCGTCGACGCTCGCTGCCGCCAACACGACGCCGCGTACTTTGGCGATCGGCCCAGCAGTCGGCGACTAAATGCGCGTGACAAAGTGAGGTTATCGTGCGCTCGGGTGCATCGGGTGCCCAGACACGTCGGGGGCGCGGATAAATTTTATCGGCGAACTCGCGCTTCGCTTATTGGGTGCATTCGCCCTTTCGCCGTAACGATAATTGCCAATTTGGACAATGCGGCCAAGCCTTGCGCTAAAAATGGCTATTTGACGCACGCGTCCTTGACATTCGAGATAATTGCGAAGGGACGTGTTTCGTCAAAGCAATTATTAGCGGACGACTGGCACCGATAAGGATATTTCAGAAAATTTCGTGTATTCTAACTTTTTCGTGTCTTGTGATATTTGGAATTTCACACGTAAACACAGTCGCTCGTCGATTATTCTTCATGTTACTATATATATATATATATATATATATACATATATAAATAAATAAAGAGAGAGAGTTAGAGAGGTTATGGTTGTGCCACAATGTAACGTGGCTTTAATCAATTCTCTCAAACTTTGATATAATGCGACTTTATCCCACCCCGAACATTTGCACGCTTGATGCCCGATTATGGATAATTGATCAATTACGGGATAAGAAGCTCGAGTCAACGAATACAGCTTTAACTTGCACCACGCTCTTATAAATAACGACAAAACAATCACCAGCTATACGAATTACCTCTAAATAACATATCGAATTGACGTTAATAGTAAGGCACACTCGAAACGACTCGAGCGTCGTAATACTACGTAAACTTAAGGAGCTGTGGCTTTGTATAGGATAAACAAAGCACGAGTCAATATTGCGGTCAATATATTCTCCAATTCCAATAGAATTAAGTTGGAGCTTGCGACACGCAAAGGCGATGGCCAACGTCCGTCCAGCTATAATACAAAAGTTAATTCGACCGTTCCTTTCCCACCCTCGTGAGCTTCGTTAAGCAGTGCCTAACTACACGTGCCCCATCACTTTAAAGTGCACAGGCGGAGAGGCGGGACAATCGGTACCGGCACGTCAAATCTATCCCACGACTCCTCGACCTCGGCGCCTCCCAGGCTCGCAAATACACCAAACGCTCCTAAGGCCGCGACTACGGTGTCCCGCTCGTCCTTTTAGTAGGCGCAACCGATCGCGCGACACGAGCCGCCACGTGCCTAACTCCTGCGCAAACAGCATTATGCATGCTCGCGACGACGTAAATTACGGTCGATTTCGATATTACTCTGGCTTGCGACACTCTCTCTCTCTCCCCTTGCCCCTCGCTCGCTCGCTCTTTCTCTTTCTCTTAGTTTCTCGTTCACTCGGTGCGATGACACCTACAGAGCTACTAAACAGTCACTCTCTTCGGCGGCCTATATTCTTGTGTTATTGGCCGCAGGACGTATGTATACGTGCAGGCTGGCACACTCTCTCTCTCTCTCTCTCTATCTATCTCTCTCTCTCTCTCTATCTCTCTCTCTCTCTCTCTCTCTCTCTCTCTCTCTCTCTCTCTCTCTCTCTGCACCTACGGGAAAATCCGATGGTTTAACAACGTGCAGTACTTTTTCCAAACACCCTCTCGGCGCGTGCGTAAGGTTGATTTTTCGTGGGCCGAGTGGAATGATGGGATTACGTGTGATTAATCGACGAATTGATTTATATTATTTAAAGAGTCGCTGGGAAGCCTCGCATTTGCCGAAAATTTTAATGAAGAGTCGCTTCATTTTCTATTTATTAATAATAAATTGCGGTTAGCTAGGGCTGTATTTATTATTTTATTAGCTTTATTTAATCCACTTACCGGCATTTATTGATATGAATATCTGATATATTAGACATTAGTTTAATAAGGAATGGCAAACTATTTTTTTTTAATTTGACTTTTAATAGAATTCAATAAATAATGCTTATTAACGTAGTACGTAATTTATAGTCTTAATTAGTTATCTTACCATTAATTGTATTCGGAGGAATAACGCGAACGAAAGTTTGTCATAATTTATAATTAATAAAAAAACCAATCGTAATTTTTTTTTTTTTTTTTTTTTTTTTTTTAATACGTTTTTACAATGTAACCATCGATCTGTAATTTATTCTAAAAAATACGACCATTTTCACTGCTTGTATCATGTGTCATTGTAAATAGTTAAATCTCGAGACGAATTTCTCATCATATGACTTTTGCATTTTATATCTTATCAGTTGAATGTAACATTGAATTTTCATAATTCATCTAGTCAAATCTGTGAATGAAACCCCACATAAAATTTGATTAAAATCTGTTATATTACTAGTATTCTTATGTAACATATGTGATAACGATTGTTACATTTTAATCTTACAAGTAATCTGAGTTTGAACGCAAATACACTATTTAATATACGATTATAATTTTAAAACTTTTTCTGTTTCAGATTAAATTGTACTAACGTCATTATTACCAATAAATAATCGTTATTGAGGAACAAAATTTTCGTTAAGACAAATTCATCAATTATCAAGGCATATTAAGCATCCAATTGTAATTACAATTTTATTGCATTTTCAATTACAGTGTAATGATTTAGAATGCACGTTATTAGAATACGAAAGATTTGCTTTATGTGTCGTTATCTTAAAGTTTTGAGATTTTCAAAGAAATCCTTATTATTTCGTCAAAAAAAAAAAATGACCCAGAATTTAAATTTATTCTATAAAAATTGGAAATTTGAAATAATGTTGAACTTATACAATTAAAAATAGAATAATATTCCTGGAATGAAATTTTAAATTTCAAATTAAAATATAAATATAGTATAAAGTTTTTAAAGCCTAAATAACTTGTCAAAATTGATTGTACAATTAATTTTTATAAAATTTATAATCGTTTAACATAGATCGTGTTTATAAAATCATCATTGAAACCTGTAATATTTATAATATTGTATGATACAAAATATGTGATATAAGCATTTTCATATTAATAATTATATGCCCTCTCATTTAACAAATAATACAGAGTTTCTAATATGTATTATGTACTATTAAAATTTGAATAATTTGATGAATTAAATGTATTGATAAATTTGATTTTACGTTCTCTTATGCACTGTATTGTATGGCATACTTGTCTACCTAGATTTATCGGAAAAATCTAAGATTATAAAGATGCACACATCCTCTTACGTATGTCTGTCTACTCTTATGCATTTTAGAAATGGATTTGGATAGATTTCGATTAGTACGTAACCCTTATCCAGTTCCGAATTTATTGAAAGAAGGAACATGGATTAAAGGTGGTTCAGTTTTAAGCAAAAATGTTTGTCCAGACGAGCGACATTGGTACTCTAAATTGGAACCTCATGATAGGCTCTTTTCTCATCAGACGTTAACCACTGCGAGAAGAGACAGCCGATACAATTGCGACAAGGTAGGTACTTTTATTTTAATGCTAGAATGTTGTTAATATCAAAGTGAGTAATCACCGTAAATTTTTTTTTCTATCGATCATTATAAAAACAAAAACAAAAACAAAAAAAAAAAAACAAAAACAAAAAAAAAACAAAAAAAAACATAAAATTATTTATACATATATATATATACACGCACACGCACACGCACACACATACACATGCATCTTTAGGTGCCAAATGACTCTTTGGATTTGATCTTATCTTCCGTCTATGTACATAATAAAGACTCGTTTCTACCAAAACCGTATGTCACAATGCAGCCAGAGACACTGAACAAAGAAACGTGGCGAGTTCTTCGTAACGAAATGAAGGTATATATTATTGGAATATATTATAAAAGAATTTTTCCATTGGCAAACTTTACTTTACATAAATAAATCAAACCTTTTGTTTTAATGATATTTCTGCTGGAATATTGTAATCCAATTGACAAAATCTTGAGAAAATATTGCCAATTTTTATGTTTGTACGAATTTCTATGGAATAATTAAATTAATTAATTAATTAATTTATTTATTTATTTATTTATTTATTTATTTTATTTAAATATTAAGGAGGAAATGAAAATGTTTGATTAAATTCTGGTTATTATTGTGCGTGAATTACAATATGCTTTGTTGATTATAAGATTTCGAATTGAATATTCGTATTTAAAAAAGATAAGTTCGATTATGTTTGGACACTTGAAAATGTAATTTGTCATTAAAATTGGAAATTTCAAAATCTTGATAAGCGATTTCTCTATGATACGCTTATTTCCCTCTCGCTGTACGTACAATCTCATTGTCTTTCATGCCATCAAGATAAGAACGGTTTTATTAATTTACTACTAAATGTGAGACCTTCACGATGCTGACATTTTAATAAATTTTCAGTCACGTTTAGGAGGCAGATTAGATAGCGTTGCTTACTTTGCGCGAGGCAAACACAAATTTACATGAAGCTCGGTACCTGTTTGCAGTCCCACTTTGAGTCACGTTCCTTTCGTATTCCAACGCAAGGAATGAAGGATTTTTCTCTTTCACGCCCAACATCTTTTATACCTTCGTTATTTTCCTTCGTAAACTCGTCCTAAGAGATTTGGAACATTCGTGTTCAACATTCTAAATAATGAAATATTATAATTCACGGAAATACGCGAAATTCTAAGCTGTCTTACGTAAAATGCTAAATTACCTTAGTATATTCAATTGCTATCGATGGCCAATGTATTTGCAATTCAGGGGAACATGGGTAGAATACGTTAGATTAATTTTAAAATTAATTTTAAATAAAATTTGTGAACTATAGTAAATGTCAGGCGATAATAAAGACCGTTTGTAAAGTAAAGATATAATAGATTTGCCATTTTTATAAAAATTTATGCTGTTAAAAACCAATGTATTGTTGCGCATGAAAATCTGCCAAAATTATCAATTCAATGAGACTTGGCAAAGTTACTTTTACTCGTAATAATAATTTCGTATTATTTCAGTAGACTTGAAATGATTTCAATTAATAGATATATTCGAAGCCACCGCTGCCACTGGGACATGAAATTAAGTACGCCAGTACGGAGTCAAAGGAAAATTCAAAAACTAGAGGATTAAAGGACCGAGTAAGGAAAAGAATTCATCCGAGTAGTCTTCGTTTGGATATGGAAGGGCCGCATATCGATCGAACTAATCCCGGTTATAGTAGGAAAATCGACGGAACTTATTACGGCATTTGAAGTATATTTTGCAACATTATAATGAAACTGTCTGCAACGTTACTTTTAAGCGTCCATAAATGACATATATTATTTCATTAATTATTGAATTTATGAGAATATCAAAATCTAGCGGGTTATGCAGTAATTTATGAAATACAATGCTTACAGTCGACTAAAGCTTTCGTCTGCAATATTTGAAATTTCCTTTCCACTAATCCTAACTAAACGAGCAATATCAATACAGCGACAATATCAATAGCGATCAGTTGTCGTAATGTAATATTAATAAACAAACTGTTACACGGTGTTTAAAAATTAAGCCTCTCCTTCGCTCGCCAACTATTGATTGCTCTATCTAATCCGAGAGAATAAAACAATTAAATTATCTCACACGTCCAACGATAGCTCGAACGCATGTTCGTCATAATACAATAAGATTATCCGATCTTGTTGACAAATTGGTTCGTATGATGCTATCGCGCACTTTAAGCGAATTGTACGGAACCGAAGAAGGGTGACACCCTGCACCCCTGAATTATTCCTCAACTTCGATAACTCGCATTTTCACTTTAACCCTCTTATACATTATACATTATATATATAATTATTCTCTGATTTCGTTTTATCTTCTAATTTTCTTGTATTTGATCTTCAAATACAATGATGATTTCAAATTATATATAATTTACTCAGTTAATAATTATAATGAAAAATGTAATTGCATAGGCGAACGTGTGGATGTTCAACGGGGCTCGTGTGCGCGAAGTCTGTTATTACTTATTAATAATTATCAAAACAACAGGGATTTTATTATAATGACTTTAACCACAATGAATTTTTTTTTATTTTTTTTTTTTTTTTTTTTTTTTTTTTTTTTTTTTTTTTTTTTTTTTTAATAAATGCAATAATAATGAAATTTTTTTAAAATTTTAAATAAATCGTATATTGATTTTTGTAATAAAAGAACAACACACTTTTCGTAATAATATAAGCAAAAAAATAAAGAAAGTACTATTCAAAAGAACTTTATCAATTTTTACTAAATCCGTAGCTGACGCAAATCGTTTAATTAATTATAAACGATAATAGCCGAGAGATATTTAATTTATAAAATTGATCGATAATTACCTTATAGTTCAAGAATCTTAAAAATAAAAATAAGTATTTTGTCAATGTTGATTATTAAAATACCTTAAGCTGAATAGCATTAATTAATTTCCTAAATTAATTAAAAACACTTTTTTTTTTTTAATTAGAAAGTTTAAAATATGAGTGCGACATGTGTGAGAGGAAAAGTTTCAGCTTCGTTGTCTCTAATACCTCGATAGAAATTTCATCGATTTTTTATTACACGAATTGGATTAAGAATCGTAGAGAAATATTAGTTTAATTTACATTTTTAGTTATAACTGAAATAATTTGACACGAATTATGAATTAAATAGAGCACATATTTAGCGATATATAAAGAAAATAACATTTTTTTTTTTTTTTTTTTTTTTTTTTTTTTTTTTTTTTATAAATCATAAAAAAAATATATTTATTCTGAATTCGTGTGTTAATAGAACGGTAAAGTAAATTTTGAATTTTAGTGAAAAGTAATTTAAAAACATTGTGGAATGTTGTTAGAAGCTTAGCTAACTGTTATTGTAGTTTCTAACTTGTGACACAAATTACAAACGTTATATATTTCTTGATTTTCCAAATAACTAACGGGCACTAAATTTGGAAAATGTATAGAGCAAGACTGGCTATTTAAACTATTGTTTGATAAGAAAAATCATTTATAACATAATCGTACAGTGCTGAATCTAGTTTCATACTTTTATTACAATATGAAGGTAAATTGATGAAAAACATTTGGAAAGTCTTAATTAAAGGGTTTATCGATAAAAGAATCTACATTCCATTCCATATTGTCGAATTCTGATGTTCATTTACTTTCTTGTCTAATTGTCTCTCCTCTCCCTTTTTCCCATTTATTTATATGATAATTAGTACAACGATATTTTATTCTGCACTTACGACATCTTGATTGTGTATTATAAAATTATTTCGAAATTTATCTGATATTTTTAAAAGTATTCTATCGCTTGTCAAAAATGTTTACAAAAGGTTTTGAAACAATGGTAATGTTAACATTTTAAATAAATATTAATGATCGTTTTATTTGTGCTTTAAAATATGATAAAATTATTTATGAATAATAAAAGAACTTGAATAAAAAAAAATCCGAATGTGTATTATAAAATTCAAAGATTTAAGATTCTTGAAATTATCTATATATCCGTGTAAGATGAGTGTATAAAAATTATATACACGCGCGCGCGCGCGTGTGTGCGTGTGTGTGTGTATGCGCGCGCGCGCGTATATATATATATATATATATTATAGCCATTTTTTTCTACACATATGATATACTTATGTATAATATAATTTTTTTAATCTAATCGTTTATTTTAATTTATTAATTTATTTTGTATGTCAATAGAAATAATTGAATTTTAATAATTTTGCTCCGTAATAATAAAAAACAATTCGTTATTTTAGTAGATTATTTGATCATAATTATATTTCATATTCTGAATACTTATAATATTTACAATTATTTATCATAATTATATTTCAATAGATTTCAAATTTCAATAAATATTATATTTATGATATTAAATTATATATTATAATTAAGTTTGTAATACTTTTCAAATTTTTATTCTAATTTTATGATAAGTATTAATTCTTTAATTAAAATTACAATAGTAAATAAGCTAAATATCAATTATTACTAAAAACAAGAAAAAACAAAAAAACAAAAAAAAAAACAAAAAAAAACAAAGACTCATATCTTTAAATTACCTGATTAAAGAAGAGATATTGGTGCGTGATGATTATAATCTACATATCATTGATCAAAATATAATCCGTAAATAATTGATCATAACAATATAAGAAAGTAATTTTAAAGAAATTAAATGACAAATTGGTATATCAATTTTAAGGATTAAAATTTATTAAATGTAGGATAATATTAACTGAATGCTACAATTATTAATAAATTTATAGGCTCTGCATTTAAATATATGCATACTCTGCTACAGAATGTAATTCCAATAAATATATTAGAAATACTTACAAATGCTTCAAAAGTAATAATTAATTTTCTTTTATAAAGTTATAAAAATTATTCAAACGAGCATAAGCGGATGCTTCGGAAAAATTTACTTGAAAAGTCTTAACTTATTTTGATATATTCCAAATCTACAATCATATCAGAATATGAAATTCTGATATTTCATTTGAATCAACATTCGATCAACAGAAGGTGAGAGAGAGTGTAGATACTTTCGGCAGATTCTCGGTTTCCTTCGTTTTCTTCCAATATACATTCACTGTGATCATTAATTATAAAAATATATTAAATTGAATCTTTCAATAATCATAATTATAACGATTAATTTATAATATAAAACTTTTGCTATTTAATTCTAATATTAAACATTAATTTTTCCATTATCTACTATAATTATGTATAATATTATGATAAATAGCGACGATATGAAGATGAATGTAAGAACGAATAAAAAAAGAAATATATTAATTATATTGTTAGTATGAAATTAATATTTCAAACAATATTGATTGGGATTCGTAAAATTAGTAACAAACCTGAGAAAATTTCAGTACTTAGGAGCGACCGATTCGGAGCGAATTCCTTTGCTCAACTTCCATTTTATTTACATATTTACGCGCGGAAAATCGACAGACCCTGGCATAATATTATTATTATTAGAAAAAAGCACGCAAGTAGGGAAATAAAATGTATTGGTTTTTCTATATTTCTAAGCCTTTGTCTCCTTGACTGTCCTTGCCAATATCTCATTTCATTTTCAAACTTTCTGGCTCCCCCCCCCCCGCCCCCCCCCCCCCCCACCGTACCGCCCTTCTTCATTTCGACTTTATATCATATATCCTTTTAATTTCAAATCATTTCACTTCTTTTCTGTCTTTTTCTTCCCTTCGTCGCTCGTCTTATATAACCACCAAACCGTCTCGTTTTCAGTCATGGAACCACACGCTCATAGTTAGTTACATAGTTATATCTGCATTCTCCTGCAACCCTGACTCACTACGTATAACTCAAAGCGTGGGCGCAGCGTGGGGGGCAAATGTACTATTATCCGGTAATCCTTGTTTGCAATAAAGCAGCTCCCCGCTGACTCTCTCTCTCTCTCTCTCTCTCTCTCTCTCTCTCTCTATATATATATATATATATATATATATATATATATATATATATATATGCCTAGCGTGACAAGTTTACGAGATACCATCGCATATGTTCCTCGTCGAAATATCATTTACGTAGCCAATCTCGGGTTGTTACTCGAGCGACGCACCTTGTGCGCTTTTGCCTATGGAACCTATGGAATATGGTGACAGAAGTGAGACGTAAAAAAAGGAAAATCGAGAGAGAAGGTTGACTTCTTTCTCTTGTCGATCTACCCTCGTGCGCAGGATCACCCTATTTTTCGACTGCTTCGACAACTCGTCCTCCTATTGAAGATCCTAATCCGATCGTGATTGGCTGGCTGTAGGGCAGAGGACGACGTCGAGGCGAGAAGCTGAATGTTTGTTGCCCCTTGTAATTGGACGCATATATGTATAGATAGCGTGATGTGCTTGCAAGATGTTCCGAAAATGTACATAACCAGAATATTGTAGAATGATGCTCCTCACATCATAGAAAGAGATGATTCGTAAACAAATGAATATCGTGCCTCGATCGTCTGATCAAAAAAAAAAACAAAAAAAAAAGAAGAAAAAAAAAACAAAAAAAAAAAGAACAACAAAAAACAACAAAAAACAAAAACAAAAAAAGTAAACGAGGCGATCCTATTTCTTGTCTACCAAGATTAAGAGATATAATTAATGCAAATAAGGGTGATTTTGCCGAAAATTATTCGTAAACGAGTGCAAACTAATGTGCATGATGTATTGAAATGGAGCAACTTCAAAGTGAACGTAAAAAATAGGCTTTTTATTCGCATCGGGGATTACTAGTCTTTGAAATA